CTGAGGCTCATTCACAGTGTGGAATAGCTCCATGTGTCTTCCGTGTGGAAAGGACATTGCACTCCACTGTGTGTTTGTAACGGTTTATCAGAACACCCGTTAATGAGCATCTAGGTGGCTCCTACCTTTTGGCTGCTGTGAAATGAGCTGCAATTCACACACTTGTACGTGTATTTGTTTATGTTTTTAGTTCTTCGGGGTTTACATCTAGAATTGGAGTGACTGGATCACATGATAATTCTGTTAAGTCTTTGAAGGACTGCCAAGCTGCTCTCCATTGTGGCTGGATCATTTTACACTCCCACCAGCAATGGATGAGGGTTCCCACATCTCCACACCTTCCCTCCTCCCCCATCTCCCCTTTGCGCCATTTTATCAGATTTACAGTGATGTTCCATTGTGGTTTTGCATTTTCCTAATGGCCAATAACGTTGGGTATCTTTTAACATGTTTGTCAGTCTTCTTGATGAGATGTTAATTCAGATCCTTTGCTTGCCCCCCTTTTCGGTCCCAAGACTGAGCCCGTGGCTTTGTGTGCTAGGCAAGCCCTCTACAATTGGACTACATTCCCAACCAAACCTCTTTTACTTTTTATTGTGAAAAAGGGTCTCACGAAGCCACACATGATGGCCTTGAACTTACTCTGTATTCTTGTCTTTGCATCAGGTCCAGACTTTGTCATTTATAAAAATTGGATTGAATTGGGCTTCGATTTTTTTCTTTGCAGGAGATGTTTATTTGACCTCCTGAGTGCTGGGATTAAAGGCGTGCACCACTACTGCCCGGCTTTTGAAATAGGGTCTTAAAATGTAGCTCAGGTTTGCCTCAAATTCCTGGTCTTTTTGCCTTAGCCTTCCATGGATTGGGATTAACGGCCTGTGTCAACACACCTACCTCTATAAACTTCTGACCTACCTTCCTTCCTTCCTTCCTTCCTTCCTTCCTTCCTTCCTTCCTTCCTTCCTCCCTTTTTCTTCTTTTTCTTTTTTCGCACACTTTCACTCTTTTGCCCAGGTTGGCCTTGAACTCTGGAACTTGAGCGGTTCTCTTACACAGCAGCACCCGGCTATGCCATCTTTTCACTCTCTTCTGATGTAGAAATGTTTTAAATTTAGATGACATCAAGTTTATCTAGGTTTTCTTTGGTTGTTCATGTTTTTAAGAGTCCCATAAAGAGTGCACTGTCGATTCCAGGTAAAGACTTATCCCTGTGTTTTCTGGTTTTCACATAGGTTTCTGGTCCATCCTAAGTTCCTGCTTGTCAACGGTGTGAGAGAGCGGTTCCCTCCTCTGCATGTAGCCATCCTGTTGTCCTAACAGCATTTGTTGAAGAGAGTATTTTTTTCTTCAATGAATGGTTATGGCGTGGCCTGAAAATCAGCTGTTCACAAAGCCAGACACTGAACTATGAGACCTTTGATAAATTTCTTAACCTTGAGCTTTTATTCCCTTTATGATGGCCTCTTATCTCAGAGGCCTGCAGGACTGCATGAAATCACACACCGGGCACACAGCAGGTGCAGGCAGCAGAGGCAGAGTCAGCAGCAGAGCATCCCTCGCCTCTCCTTCCTGGAGCTCCAGGGGCATGGGAGACTTTACACATAGAACTGTCTGCTTTTGCCCCGTCTGTTTCCTGAATGTAAGCTTGCCCTGGAGGATGCTTACCTAGCCGTGCGGGCACAGGTGAAATAGTGGTCCATCTTTAACAATCCAGCTGCTCTATGCTGACTTTGGGCATGGGATTCTAGTCTTGGGGATATACAGGCTAAAGATTCCTCTGCCTCTGCAGGACTCTAAGATCGTTAAACAAACAGCTAAAACAGTGAAAAAAAAAAACCACCACCAACAACAGTGCATAAGTGTGAGACAGATTCAAGGAAAGAGCTCTGAGTGCGTGCGTGGAGAAGTCCTCGCCGAAGGACTTGGGAAAGGGCAGTTGAACTGGGCACTACATGACTTGTGGGTGGAAGTGTGTAATGTGGATAGGAGGGAACCGTGTTAGCGTAGGAAACAAGCCCCAGCTATAAAGGCATCCCTGTAAGCTCTGGGTTCTAGATGAAAACTACCCTACTTAGGTACGACTAAGGGTTAAATAGCGCTCTGATTAAAGACCATGGCGCTGGCTCAGTGGGTAAAGGTGCCAGCTGCGAAGCCTGATGACTTCCACATGGTGGAGAGAGCGCTGAATCCCACAGGTTGTCCTCTGACCTCCACATGTTTTAAATATGATTTTTATGGGTATGGAGATGACTTAGTGGATACTTGCATGCCAGGCTGACATCTGTCCTGAGTTCAGTCCCACAAGGTGGCAGAAAAGGAGGGACTCCCAAGAGTTGCCCTCTGACCTCTGTACATATGCCATAGAACATGTGCACCTGTGTGCGCACACGCACATACACAGAGGCATGCACACACTAATTTTTTTAAAGTCTTGATTTTGGGGTTGGAAGGGTAGCTCGGTGGTTAAGAGCACTGGCTGTTCTTGCAAAGGACTTGGGTTCCGTTCCCAGTACCCACATGATGGCTCACAACTATTTTCAACTCCAATTCTAGGAGATTTGAGACCCTTGTTTTGACCTGGGGTACCAGGCATGCATGTGGTACACAGATACATGCTGCAGGCAAAACGCTCAGGCACATACAATGAATAAATCAATTTTAAAAAGCCTTAATTTTATTTTTAAGACTATTGGGAGCTGTTGGTGAAGTTTAAACCAGGAAAGCTCCATGGCCAGATCTGCATCTCAGACGGATGGGAAAGCACTGTGGAAGACAGAGTATTAGGGGAGGAGAATGGAGCACTGAGAAGAGGAGGAAGAAATACAGCAAGGATGGGGAGGAGGGGAGCCAGCCAAAGGTGGGGGTGCAGAAGAGTAAGTAAACGAGCTGTTGCTGTGTTGGGAAATTCGGAGAGCTTTCGCCTGCTCGTTCAGTTGGCTAAGTGACTCATCTGGCAAATGTTTTCAGTCTGAACTGAATGTACAGTGCTGTGTGTGTGTGTGTGTGTGTGTGTGCAGGCGTGCACGTGTGTGTGTGTGTGTGTTGGGGGTATGTGTGTGTGTTGGGGTATGTGTGTGTGTGTTGGGGTATGTGTGTGTGTTGGGGTATGTGTGTGTGTTGGGGTATGTGTGTGTGTTGGGGTATGTGTGTGTGTGTTGGGGTATGTGTGTGTGTGTTGGGGTATGTGTGTGTGTTGGGGTATGTGTGTGTGTTGGGGTATGTGTGTGTGTGTGTTGGGGTATGTGTGTGTGTTGGGGTATGTGTGTGTGTGTGTTGGGGTATGTGTGTGTAGTGTATGTGTGTGTTGGGGTATGTGTGTGTGTGTTGAGGTATGTGTGTGTAGTGTATGTGTGTGTTGGGGTATGGGTGTGTGTTGGGGGTATGTGTGTGTGTTGGGGTATGTGTGTGTGTGTAGTGTATGTGTGTGTGTTGGGGGTATGTGTGTGTTGGGGTATGTGTGTGTGTTGGGGTATGTGTGTGTGTGTTGGGGTATGGGTGTGTTGGGGGTACGTGTGTGTAGTGGGGTGGTGTGTGTGAGGGAGCAGAGAGCTCACCTCCTGGCCTCACGGTAGGGCAGAATAGGCGAAGCCAGAACTTCCTTTCTTGCTTCTTGAGGGATAAAGTAAGTAGGACTATTTATCTAAAGCCACGTGCCTGTTGGTCAGAGCCACGACCCACGCTTCACAAGTGGGGGTGGCTCGAGTACTGGGTGTCCAGCCGGTGAGCTATTCTTCCTTTCTACTCTTCTTCCATCCTGTCTTCCAAGCCACAAATTCCCAGAAAGAGGCAAGACCTCTGAGGTGCCTGTGCATCTCTGGGCCTGCGCATTACCTGCACAGTCGGCTGACACCTGCCCTTGGTAATGTAAGTGGTAAAAGACATTGGTGTGGGAGTCGGGAAGCCTGCTCTGCCACACCCCACCCTGTTGCTGCTGGCCATGAGTGTGGGGGTGGGTTTAAGTAAAACATCGCGGCACTTCCCATTGCCCATGCTGTTTGGAAGTCTTTACATAAAGAATCAGAAATTAAACGTTAACAAAATTTTGTGGCTGGAAAATCTTGTTTTACCAAGATTCCGGAAATACTGCTTGGGTTATCTTCCTGTGTAGAATCCCAGTCTAAACCCGGACTGTTGCAGGAGCTTCACACGTTTTCCAGTTTAAGACTAAGGCCAGAGACCATTCTCATAAGTAAGACCGTATGGACTGGTGGTTGTCATCAGTACATAGAGGGATGTGTTGACTGTATGCAGAAACATTTTGAGGCTTCCTTGGATCCTCAGTAAGCCCCAGAAGATAGGTGAGACCTGAATGAACTCCCCATTTTGCAAGGCTTAGAGATGAGAGCTGAGCTACTGCGTCCAATAACTATGGAGCCTCATAAGAGCTCTTCCTACACATTGAGCAGGGTCCCTTGAGACCCTGATGAGGGAGAGAGGATGAAGCAAGGAACGGCAGGGGTAGAGGAACTTTGAGATCCACCCCCCCCACTCCGTTTCTTTCTACAAAACATCAAGAAGTAAAATCGTGAGAATGTGGTTTGAGGCCTGGGTTCGGATCCCAGCTTTCCTATTGACTTGCCGTGAAATCTGTGCGACTTCTTCGAGTGAGCTGGTTAGAGTCTTCAAAAACAAAACAAAATAACTTGTCAAGCACTTTTGCAACTGTTACCTCCGTTTTAGCTGGTACTGTCATTCCCATTTACCAGGGAGAAGCAGTACCCCGCCTAGGAGGGGTCGAAGCCGGGTTGTCCTGGCTCTGCTTTCGGGTCCCTGCCCTGTTCCTCTCGGCGCCGCAGGGTCCAGCAGAGTCCCGGCAGCAAGCGTGCCGGGCTTCGACCGCTGTCAAAACCTCAGCCCGGGCGCACGCCGCCCCGCCCAGGCCCCCAGGCGAGCGGCACGCCCTCGCTCCGCCATTGGCCTGGTCCGGCAGCCCCCGAGAGTCGCGGCCCGAGCGGTTGTGGGCAGCGGCGGGCCGCCCCGCCCCCGGGGTGTCGCCCCGTTGGACGCGGCGGCCGTGGCGGTGGCGGCGGTTGCGGGGGCTGCGGCGCCAGAGGAGGCGCGCCGTGCTGTGCGCCCCGCGAGCCGCTGCGCCCGCGGCGAGGTGAGAAGGGACGCGACTCGCGCTCGGGACCCAGCGGCGTCCAAATTCGCGAGCTCTGGGGTGGCGCGGGGCGAGGCGAGTTTGGGGGCCCCCCGAGGCCTCGCTCTCGCGGGAATGATGCTGGAGATGATGCCGTGGCTCCGGCGTGAGACTCCGCGCTGCGGAGTGTGAGCCGGTGAATGGGAGTGTGTGGCATGGCTGGTCTCGGAGTGCGTGTCGATCCTGCGCGAGTGTACGTGGGAGCCCGCGTGCGTGGGCGACACTGGTTGTGCGTGCTCCCGCGCGCCGGGTTTTAGGGATGTGTGTCTATGGGGTGTGCTTTGTGGGCTCGCACAGTGGGCGTGCGCGCTCATTTGCAGCTGGCCTCTGGCGAGTGGCGGTGCTCGCAGGAGATCTGCTTTTGCACCCCGCGGTCGTGCGTGTGCAGTGCGCGGGCTCTGCTCAGCCTGCCCTAGAGCACCTGGAGGTGCGCAGCCAGGGACCCATCTGAACCCACTCCGGCTCTTCCCGAACCCTGCTCAGGGAGTCCCAGCTGCTGCCCTTCTTCCTGTCCCTTCAGGGAACTCCGGACAGGCGCTCCCATCCCACCCCAGGCCTTGGTTTTGCCGTTCGTCCGAAGAGGGCTGACCCTGGGTGGAAGCAGATTAGGGTGGTAGGGCGCAGGGGCTTCTCCGGAATGTGCGGAGCCAGGGCGATGGCAGCGAGAGGGTGACGACCACAGTGCGCGGGGTCAGGTGGCTCAGGGGTGGGGTTGGTGTGGTGACACTGACAAATTTTAGAGATCAGGACTAAGTAGAACATGACTGCCCAAACTGTGATCCCGGGACGGAGAACTCAGCTTCCCGCATTCTAAAGCCCGGTGCTTTCTCACCTCCACAGGAGCCTGGCGCGACCCCCAGCTGTGCGCCCCGCCCCGGCGCCATGCATTGCGAGGTGGCCGAGGCACTTTCGGACAAGAGGCCAAAGGAGGCCCCTGGTGTGCCCGGCCCGGGCCGCGGGCCCGCTGGCCTGGGAGCGCACATGGCCTTCAGGATTGCCGTGAGTGGCGGCAGCTGCGGGGATGGGAACCCTCGAGACCTACTGCCTCGGCTGCCCGTGCCACCACCACGCGTCCACGACCTTCTCCGACCCCGGAGCCCTCCAGACTATGGCATGTCCAAGGCCGCCGGCGGCGGCAAGGGTGAGTCCAACCGCAATCTGCTGACCGTGGGCATGCAGGGGTCCGTTCGGGCTGCGTGCCTGCGCTGCTGCCACTGACGCTTTAAGGATTGCCTGGAGAACTTCGTGGAACTTTTTCTTAAGAGTTCTCAGTATTTCTGCAGTTGATTGGGACTTGCCTGTCAGTCTGAGCTGATGCCTGGAAGCTTCCAATTTAAACCAGATAGGCGCGTTTTGGGAGGAAATGTGTATATAGAAAGCTAATATTACATAATTTTGCTTCTGTATGTCACGTGAAACGCCAAAAATTTATTGTACGTTAGTGTATCAATTTTTGTGTCTAGAAACTGTTTCCAAACAGCTGAAGGCATGCTTTCAACTGTCCCAATCGCTCTTAAAAAGAAAGAAAGAAAACAGAGGACTTCAGTACCGTAGGAACCTCAGTTTCCCCATCCGTCAAGTTAGAAATTTATTATGATTTCGTGACTCCTGACAGACGTTTTTCTGAGTCTGTAATCCAGTCTGGGCCAAGTGTTGACTCAGAAATGGCTTTTCTGTGCTTGATGAAGCCAAACAAGGCAAGCCCAGAACCCGCTATGGGCAAATTCAGGGACAGGTGCTGGTATTCGCCTGGACATATTCACCCAATCATAGTTAATTATTACTGGCCTGTTACGTATAGGTTTCGTGTTAACAGATAATTAACCAGACATTAGAGAGACTGTTAAGGGATGCGCCATTCTGCGCTGTGATTTCCCGTCAGCTGAACCAGCAGCTTTGGGGTTTGATTATGTCAAGCCCAGGACCTCTTGATTCTCTTCCCAGGTGGTTTGCAAGGAAGTCAAAGCCAGTGTTTTTTAGTGTTAGGACCCTCTTAGCATCAGCTTAGGCCAGCTTGCTTCCCGATCCCAGCTGGAAGGAAGAAGCATGCAGAGGGTTCTTTTTGACTTTGTAGGAGAGAGGCCCTTCTTGTCTTCAGTCTCTTCTCCAAAGAGAAATCATTTTTAAAAGGAGGATGGATATGGGAAAATGCTTACAGAATATTTTTGCTAGGATGCATATTTGAGGACTCTTAACAGAAAAATGGGTGTGTGTGGTGTGTGTGTGTGTGTGTGTGTGTGTGTGTGTGTGTGTGTGTGTGTGTGATGCTTGCTGCAGAGAACTTTCTGGCTTGCCGGGTTCCATTAAAGGTCCTTTCTTACACTGGTGCCCGTCATCTGCAAATCAAGTCCTGCACAGCCCTGCTGATTGCTGTAGCTCACACAACCTGTGTTTCATTGTTGACTGGAAGCATTTCACGTGATGCTTTGCATATTGCCTCCATCCTTCCCTTTACCCACAATGCCTTGCCCCTACACAAAAGGTCTTAAAGTTAGGGCTGCATTTGGAGAGGACAGGGAAGGTAAAAACGATGGGAGAAACAGTCCCTTTCTTAACCTGGTGTTTCTGGTTACAATATCTCAGTGACTTCTAAATTGTTTTCCTTCACAGCTGTGGGGCTGTCAGGGTAGAGTAGATGACACCCAGTTGAAAGGTGAGAACACCGAGGCCCACAGGTGGGGTAGCATCTGCAGCTCTGGGAACTGGCGCTCTGGCATAACTCCGGTTAGAAAGAGGAAAATCTCTGCAGGTTCTTCAGAGTCAGGCCAGGCAGTCTGAGAGAAGAGCAGCTTCCTCCCTAGTCTCCTTAGGGTGCCCTCCTAGGAGTATCATTGAGGAACTGACACCTTCTTCTGAGGCCGCTTCCTGCCAAAACATCCCCCGCCCCAACTACAACCCTTTGAATGTGTGGCGTCCAGCCCCATCCACTCAGGCTTATTAGAAACAGACTAGCGGAGATACCAATGGAAGCATATTTATTGGCTGCATTGGAAATGCTAAGACACCAGCCGCTATGGGTGGGACGACGGGGAAGTTAGCTCACCGCTCTGAGCCTCCACTTTCCTCCTTGAGACTGACTTAGCACAAGAGTGTTTTAGGACGGGAACAGTAATGTGTTGGATGCTCTCGGCCTCTGGATTTTTATTTGCATGGGAGTGATAATGTCCATTGCAGGGTCAGTAAAACAGGGTGGTAAAGATGCTATAGAAACTGAAAAGTTAGGCCACTTTTATTAATACTTGCAGGGTACCAGTGATACTGGCAGATTGAGGAGTGAAAACGCTTTGGGTTTTTAGTGTTAAATGTGAAGGGCACTGATTCTGGTGCACTGGCCAGGAGAGGCCAAGAGGTGCTGTGCCTTGGGTCTTCCTTGGCCCCTGCTGACCAGTGAAGCGAGAGAAGACTGCAGTGCTTGGTGTGGGGCCAGGGTTCAAATGGCGTGCCTGTTGCCTTGGACAGACCTTAAGCACATGGAAGGATTGAGCTAATGAATATGTCCAGGTCTGGACGGGAGGGACTAGGCACGGGGTGACATCATGCACTAACATTGTCATCGTTTGTGATAAGAATCATTGTCTGTTTATGACCAAGTCCCACTTATCCAGATTCCAAGCAGCTGAGAAGGCCAAATTACCAAATCCTGCATTTTTAAAATTATCATTAAGCACCTGACACTTTTTTTTTTTGTAAGACCTGGAAAGAAGGAAAACAGCCCGGCTTTCCCCGGAGGCCAGCTTTCTGGCCATGGCCGGTGATGACTACTCGGCGCGGGCCTTCACAGTGTTCAGAATGTAGCCATGTGCTCTCCTTCATCTGGCTTTGCCAGCCGCATGGGCTCTTCTGACAGAACAGATCTCCGGAGTGCTTGTGTTGGATGGGGCATACACTGACTCTCGGGAGACTGACTCCTTTTTTATAGCTTAGTGCATGGAGGTTCTGGGATGTGCTCAGAGCCATGGACAGTGGATGGCAGCTCCTGAGGCCTCCAACTCTAGGGCTTTATAGTTCTGAAACTTGTCCCGTCTCCACGCGCACACTTGAGTTTAGAGCTGGCATTTGTAAGCAGGGCCTTCCAAACAACCCCAGAGAATGTAACTGCGTTTGTTTTTTTGTATGTCTCGTGTCTTAAATGTCTGGGACTTGGTAATCGTCACTGCGCCGTGTCTAGAAGACTTTGTAGTTTACCAGATGATTCCTTCTGCTCAAACCGGGTACTGATGGTGTTGTTTAATTCCCAGCAACTCAGGGCCGAGGCCCTCTTTACCGTGTCCCGTACACAGCAAGCAAAAGGGGAGATTGACGATCGCCACAAATGTGAACTCTGCCATTAACACAAACAGTCCCCATATCATGGCTGTACGTTTCTAAAAGCGGTCAGTCCGGTAGTTTAAAAAGCAAAACAAAAAACCCCAAACAAAACAACAACAACAACAACAAAGCAATTATAGGCCAATTTTGGACGTCAGGCTGCTGGTGTGCAGTGGGGCGTGATGGTTTCAGTGTGCTATCTGCCTGAGTTTTTTTTTTTTTTTCCAGCATGTTCCGAGGAGGTCAGGAAAGGCCAGCACATCTGTAATAGGAAGGTGTAAGCTATTTTTAAAGCATCTTCCCCCTCTGGCTCTGCTGGGCAATTTGCTTTGCATTTCATCCATTTTAAAGTGCTGGTCCTGGGATCCGGAAATAATCAGATCCAAATTTTTTCAGTGCTTGAGGTTTCAAATAAGGGGGAAGAAAACCTGCTGGCCAAATGTCAGGCTCACTGAGACAAAGAGAAACAAGTGTGTGTGTGTGTGTGTGTGTGTGTGTGTGTGTGTGTGTGTGGGTGGGTGTGGGTGTGGGTGTACAAGCTAGAGAGGAACATGTTGTGTCTACAGTCGCAAGAGTTATGTGTCCGACAAATCTTTTATAGACGTGTAGCGGAAATGTAATTCCCGAAGATTCCCTTCAAATTCTGTGCAGCTAGAATTTCTCTCCCTTTTCTGCCTTCCAGCCTCTCTAGAAGCTGTTAGGACTTGGCTGGCAAAATGAAAAGGGTGCCATCACCTAAGATCGTGCCTCAGCTGGGGCCTTGTTTCCGCACAGTTCACCTGCAGTGCACTTAGCTGGCCCAAGGTCTCGGGACCCTCTTGGCTGTGTAATCTGATAACGTGTGTTGCTCTGTCATTGTGACTTTTCCTGTGCCGTGGTTTTCCTCCACACGTTTGAAAAGGAAACCATCCAGACTCAGTTACTCATCTCCCGCTTTTCATTTGCGTGAGGAGCGAAGTGGACCGGCACACTTATTTTTAAAGCGCGTTAAAATCCCATTAGGGGTCTAAGTGCACGAACCATTTAAGAGCCATATTCTTATGTTCTTTGCTCTGGAGGTTGCATAATTATCATTTTCTTCGGTTTTATTTCATGGAGTTTGGCCAGCATCCTAGAGGAGAGGAGAAACTCAACTTTGGAATAGGGGTTTCAGTCCTTTTTTGGATAGGATTAGAAAGAAAAAAAACAACAAACAAACAAACTTTATTTAGAAGTTGACCATCGCTGACTGTGCATGGCTTTTACTTAAAGAAGAGAATTTTCTTGGGAATTTTGGTGTTGATACAGGGTTGCGATGCATGCGCATACACACACGTACACAAATCAAAGTTAAATGATCCACCCGTGGTTTGCTAATATATTTTCCTCCAGACTAGATTTTAGTGGCAATTAGTTTGGGCCTAAAGAGTCATGCTGTGTCTTTAGGTAAGGGCTAGTTTATTCTTGTGCATAAAAAAGCACAAAATGTTCGATTCAAAGGAGAAAAGTAATAAAAAAAAAAACTGCGGTGGGCTTTGAAAAGTTTGACTGAATAATACAAATACAGGCTGTGATTCTAGGCCAGGAAACCCCCCCCCCCCCCCCCGACTTGTGAAGTATCTGTACCGTCGTATTCCTGATGCGCCTGATTCTGGCCGTTGAAAATGGATCGCTTGTTTGTCAACTGCCGCTGCCCAAATTAATAGTTTACAATGAAAAAAAAAAGTCTTCAGCGTTGGAAGCAAAGTCCGGGCCCTGACAGCTGAGTTACTGAGTAAGGATGGCAGAAGAGGAGGGGGCTGTTTTGTGGCTGCTTGGGTCTCCTAAAGCCTTATTTATAAGAAACCGAAAGAA